GCGTCTCGCCCTCGCAGCACACGTTCTCGAGGCGGAACTTCGTGCGCGCGAGCGCCGGCGCGCCGCGCTCCGCGTCGTCGCTCGTCAGCGGCTTCTTCTCGGCGGCCGACGACATGATGGCACTCGAGCTTGCCGCGCGGGCAAAGCCAGACGACGGACGGGAGAGTTAGGAGGGCGCCCAGGCCGACGAGGGGCTGGTGTTGATGTCGATGTCGAGTTGAACAGAACTTGAAGCACCCCTCCCCGCCGCCACCCGCGACGTCGCTCTCCTGAACTTACTTTTTCTTCCCGATGCCGAAGAGGCCGAGGATGCCGCGGACGAGGGCGACGACGGAGCGGAGCGCGCGCTTGAGCTTGTCGACGGGCGCGCGGTAGGGCAGCGCGAGGCCGTGCTTGTCGGCCATGACCTTCTGGACGCCGTCGCAGGTGATGACCTTGCCGACGTCGTCGACGTCGACGAAGCAGAGCGTCGGGTAGCCCCGCGTCTCGTACTTCTTGATCACGGCCGGCGCCGCCGCGAGCGGCACCGCGGGCCAGGGCATGTCCTGCAGATAGGCGTCGAAGTTCGCCTGGGACCGCGACGCCGAGACCCAGACGATCTCCAACCCGCGGCGGCTCGCGAGCTTGTAGTAGGCCTTGAGCTTGGGCACGAAGTCGCGGCAGGGCTTGCACCAGTCCGCGGCGAAGAGCAGCGCCACGTTCTTCTTCTTCGCCAGCGCCGCGTCGACGCTCACGGTCTTGCCGCCGGCGGCGACGAGCTGGGGGCCCAGCAGCCGGTCCCAGGCGCTCTCGGGCTCCTCGGCCTCGAGCGGGTCGCGCTTCGGGCGCGCGGCGGCCTGGAGCGCGCCCTCGACGAGGTGCGCCGCGCAGGCCGCCACCTGCTCGTCGGCCACGTACTTCTCGCAGAAGGCCGACGCCTCCGCGCGCACGTCGCCGCCGTCCCTGTGGCGGAAGACCGTCTTCTCCTCGCCGACCTGCACCTCGAGCTCGAGCGCCGTCAAGCCCGCGAGCTGCTTTCGGACCTTGAGCTCGTTCTCGACCTGCGCCGCGATGGCCGGCGCGCACGCGGCGCGGTGCTCCTCGGCCACGTGCTCGCCGCAGAAGGCCGCCGCCGCCGCGCCGACGTCCTCGCCCTCGGTCCACTTGAAGTCGGCCGTGCCGCCCTCCGCGGTGACGACGGCCGTGAACTCGACGACCGCCGGCGACTGCGAGTCCACCAAGGACGGCAGCGCGAGCAGCGCCATCATGGAGACGCGCATCATGCTCTCGGTGGCGGCGCGGTTGCAGCACGCTGCTGCCACGCCTAAGCGCTCGAGCCTCGCCGAAGTCTGCAAGTGCCGCGACAGTGCCGTCGTACTTGTCTCGGAGCTATCTACCGGGGCGGAGACGGGGGGGGAGATCGGGGACGCGCGCGGCCGCGGCGCGGTGAAAATCGCAAAAAGGGCGGGGCGGCTCCAAGCCGCGCGCCTAGAGCTGCTGCCGCTTGACCCAGGACGACTTCTGCGGCGAGCCGACGTCCGCGGCGTCCTCCTCCCAGGGCCCGACGCCGAACTTGGAGATGGACTCCTCGAGGCCGGCGACGAGGGTCGACGGCGTCTTGGGCTCGTCCTGGGCCTGGGCCCACTTGAGGAGCACGTCCCAGTGGGGCTTGATGTGGCCCTCCTTGGTGACCTTGGCCTCGGCGAAGCCGCGGATCTCCTTCATCGCCTCCGACATCGTCCCGCCGGCCGCGCGCTGCTTCGCGGCGGCCCGCGCGACGAGGGGCCGCACGTGCAGGTCGTAGAGCTCCATGTTGATCAGCGCCGCGCCCCAGGCGCCGCGGACGACGTTGTTGATGACGATGGACAGCGTGACGTCGAAGAAGCCGTCGTTCGTGTGGACGTTGCCGACGCAGACGGACATGCCGCCCTCGTAGTTGCCGTCCTGCTTCGGGCGCGGGCGGCCGACCTCGTCGACGACGACGATGGGCGCGTTGGGCATTGACGGCAGGCCCAGGCCCCGGAGCGGCGCGAACGCGCGGAGCACCGCCTTGACCTCCTCCACCGACCGCACGGGCTTGCGCGTCTGGCACTTGACGTCGACGAAGTGGCCCGTCTGCACGGGCACGCGGTGGGCCGACACGGCGCAGCGCACGATGTTCGGGAAGATGCGCAGCAGCTCCTTGCGCTGGTACTCGTCCGTCTTCTCGACCGTGCCCGCGAGCGGGTAGACGTTGCCCACCACCAAGCCCGGGTCGTACTTGGCGTCGCCGCGGCCGCTCAGCGCCTGGAAGGTCGTCACGGAGACGCCGACGACGCCGTAGGTCGCGTCCAACGCTTTCAGCACGACGGACGTGCCGCAGGTGACGCAGTTCGGCGACTTGACGAGCGGGATCGTCGGGTCGCTGTCCTCGGCCGCCGCCGTCGCGATCGCGTGGAGCAGCTCGTCGCCGTTGGCCTCGGGGATGATCAGCGGGTTCCTAGGCACCTGGCGCGCGTGGGGCGAGATGGAGAAGACGGCGATGCCCGCGGCCTGGAGCGCGTCCTCGATGTGGCCGAGCGACGGCGCGATCGCGCTGACGACGTACTTGACGCCGGAGCGCATCAATTCCTCGGTGGACGACACCGTGATCTCCCGCAGGCCCGGCGGGCAGGGCACGGCCTCCCAGAGCGCGGCGCCGTAGTGGTCCTGGAGCGCCTTTTCCTTCTGGATCCAGACGTCGGCCAAGGACTTGCCGACGGTCGCCGACGACCCGAGCACGGGGCCCAGACTGAAGATGGGGTGGCTCAGGAGGCGCGCGGCTAACGCCCGGCCCACGAGGCCCGTGCCGCCTAAGATGCCCACGGGGATGCGCTCGCCCTCCTCGACGAGGTCCACCGTGTACGGCGAGTCGCACGCGTGGCACACGGCGCCCGCGGACCATTGCCGATTCTGCCGCGCGATGGTCTGCCAGCGCTGGAGGCACGTGTAGTGGACGGCGCTCCGCTCGCCCGCGCAGTTGCAGGGCGTCGGCCGGATGAACGCGCCCATGCCGTCCTCGTGCTCCTCGCTGTAGCAGATGCGGCACACGGGCGGCGCCATGCCCGCCTTCACCTCCTCGTCGAGGCCCGCGCGCTTGAGCTCCTTGGCCTCGGCCTCGTCGCTCGCGAGCGTCTGCAGGTCGCCCGCCGACGCGTGCGCC